TAATCTCACAACACATGGACAGACTCAGCTATAGTTTCAACTGGGAAACTGTCAGCATCCTAGTCCAAGCTAAATCCAAAAACGCAAGGTAATTCCTGGAAGCTTGGCATTCAAAAAAATCAGACATCAACAGACATATACAGTAACTACATTTACACACCATTCAAAAGAGACAATAAAATAGCTAAGAAGAAAACAAAAAGGCCGGAGCACATCCTCTCCAGCAGCCAATACCCAGATAAGCAGGGATTAACACCAGACAAACAAACAGAAAACAATACCCTGATCAAGGAACTACCAAGGAGAAAACCACACCCCAAACAACACTGGCAGGGCAAACTGCAAGGAGCAAACCCCACACTCACTAGCACTGATGATATTACCTGGTTGGGTAATGAAATGTCTGCAAGCAAACAACTGAGCTTAGAGGACATCAGGGGCTCCACAGTTCAATTCTGGGCTACGTACATTCTCTTCTACAGGCAGACATTTAACAGGTGCTGCCTCCTGAGGCAGTAGAAGGAGCTGTATCTCTCTGATGGCAGACAAAGACAAAGCTTTATTAGTTTTTCTTCTGCTATAGCAGATATGTAGATAGAAATTCAACTGATCCACAATCACTTCCAATAATTTAAACTTTCCTTCTTTTGCCTTTTCTTATAATTGTTATCCCCTCCTTTTTGAATTCCTTAATACACTCACAGTTTATCAGAGGACCCTACACTTCTCTGTCCTCACAAAAAGTTGGAAATGGTGCAGCAGAGAGATTCTGGGGTCTGAAGCAATATTATGATCCAAAGGGAACTCAAGTTCCATCAAAGTATACAGAGTGAGATGGTGTGTGATATTGAATTGTCCCATTGAATAATTGTGATATTGAATTAAAAGTAACAACTAAGAGGAGTTGTGCTTTAAATTTTTCCTCCCTCCCTCCCTCTCTTTCTTTCTCCCAAGTTAGGGATACTCAGGAGAATGAAAATGAAAATGACTCCAGGGTGCTGACATTGCCTAATTATTAAGCAAGAAGAGAGACCTTTGGAAATCATTGGGGACCAAAATAAAATAATATGAAATTAAGAAAAACTACTTCAAAAATTTGGAGCAGACTTCTTCAGCATTTGAATGTACTGGATTCCAGAAATTTTTATTGACCAAACACACAGAAATGAGAAGGGGAACTACCTCGGGGATGTGAAGTTACCAAAAAATAATCAGACTCACATCCAAGATGTAGAACTGAGACTTGAGTCAACCAATATGAATACAGAAGCAGGGAACCTTTTTCAGTCAAAGGTATATCATTATATATAGTGTGTGGAAAGAACTTCAGGATGAAGAATTCCTCTCTCACAAAAGGAATCTGAATGACGAGAAGCCCCTGAAATGCATGTGCATTGTTTTCAAATGAATGGCAGCACCTAAACCAAATTGACATATAAAGGAATGTGCAGTAACCTTAGAGCCAGCTTACTGTGAATCTTATCAGAGCATTCCCATGGCAACCCATGAATCTGTTCTGGCATTTTGACACTCTAAATCAATCCCCTTCCTTGATTTGTTTCTTTTCTCCTAGACAATAGTTCTCTTTGAAACTAATAGATAGCAAAAGGGCAGGAGGGCAGGAAGTAACTCAAGATGTATATCTATGTCTGCATCATCCTATGAATATGGATGCCTGCATCATCTTTCCCTTTTTCCTGAAATGTATAAATATCAGTGCATCTCTTGTTCACAGGGGTATCACTATCCTTTGGTGGGGTCCCCTCCAGTACGTACTGTCTAATAAACACTGCAGTCAGCCTTGATTATTTGCTTTGGGCCTGCGTTTTGATTCTACAGAAATTGGTGTGAGAAGTGGGGTTCACAATCTTTGAGCTGCTACCAGAGATGAATAGCAGGACACCCTTCAGGGTGAATGGAATGGTGAGCATGATCCCATGTCCCTTCCCAGTGTCAAACAAGAGCACTGTTTAGGAATGTGTGTAAGACAACAGTTTGTGTGTCATGAGCCACGATTCAGAGGCTGACTCAACCTGACAGAGAATCTGATTCTGACAATGTTGCTCCAGCTGAGCCTGTAGAGTGTCAGCCTCAGGAACCATTAAGCCATGATGCATTTGAAGCTGATCAGCCACAGGCATCTCCTGATCAGCTGGAGCAGTCAGATGATGAGGCACGACCCCCAAGCCCCAGATGCACGCAGAGGCAAGCAGAGCAGTGTCAAACAAGGAGACTTGCAAGGCAAAGGGTGAGGCCTGAATAATTGCAGCCAGCTGCCAGCAGAGAGATTTAGGTAGCTTACTTTGCCTTTACTCTCTGTTAGAAAACAACCATTTGGAAACCTAACTCATGTCTTGTGTGGATCCTGTCCTTGAATTTCTGACTTCTGCACTGGCTGCCTACCCAATTTGGCTTTGTGACTTTGGCATTGTAACTAGATTACTCTTTTGCTTCCTGGACTACAAATGGTGCTTTACTTGTCTGCCGTTATCTACTTCTGCTCCTCGGCAACTGTTTCTGCTACCTTGAAACAGAACACTGTGTCTAAAAGTCTTTTGTGGCTAGGGAGGTTTGTTGAATGTGTGGTTTCTCTCTACCCAAATCTTCAGCCATCCCTGATCTTTCTGCGAGCTTGACTGAGTGACGACTGGAGGTGTCCAGAATGCAAGGAGAGATTTGGCTCTGGAGGGGTGAATGTGGTCTCCTTTGTGTTGGGCAGACACTGACCCCAAATGCCTGCCCAGATTACCTTTTCCTGTTGTCTCCTCGAAGCTGCCTTAGCTGCTAAACTTAGGCAGGGAGGGAAAAATGTAAAGCGGTGCTCAGGCAGTATCGGTGGTGTTTCCTTCTCCTTTAAATTAACCCCACTGTGCACTAGGGCTGGGTATCATTGTACACTCATGCCCCCAGGGGTTGTTGAAGTGAGAAAATGAAAGTGTAAAAGATCATAAAAGAGCTGATCCTCCCCATTACATAAATGCAAGGACCCAAATAACACAGGAGACAAAGAAGCCAACAAGGAAAGATCCCAGTTGTGGACAGAGATCAAATCAGATGAGTAAATGGGAAGTTAGTGTCTCTGAGAGGGAAAAGAGAAAAAAAGAGAGAGAAAATGGGTAATTTGCAAGCAAAGCAAGCTTTGAAGGAAGTCCCACAAAGGGCTCCTGTTACATTTATGAAGCACAGGTTTGGCTTGGGAGTGGTTAAATACATGGAGCAAGCATGGAAGGGGGGCAGCTGCAGCCACCCAGTCAGGAAGGAAAGAGACAGAAAAATCCCAATTGATGTCAATGGATGGCAACGAATGCAAGTAATTAAGAAATGGAGGCTGGAGAATCTGCAATTCTTGTTTTCCCCTCTAAACCCTTGGTCAGAATGAAACAAGGGGGAGAAGACTGAAAATGTCCACATCATTGGAGCAACAGGAAAAGGCTAATTGGAACTTCTCTTTCATAAATGCATTGCACTCTGAGAAACAAGAGGTTAACTCGTCAATCAGTTTGTGAATGTGCCTGGACTGCATTGCCTGGGAGATAATTGCTATGCAAAATGAGAGAGAAGAGCTGAGTTCAGAATGGTCATACTGTGTACAGAGGAGTGGACAAAGACACTGGACACCTTTCACAGGAAGCAAGATGGTCATCGTGGGGCTCCTTTTGACTCAAGACTGCTGGAGGCAATCTGAGTGCAAATTGAGCAGAACCATCGGACTTTTGGGTCCTGTAAGCTGATGTGGCTGAGCAACAAGTCATCAGATGATGGGTTCAAAAGACTATGCCCTCCACCCCTTCCAATGATCTGGTATTCCAGTGCTACTTCTGAAGGGATGAGGATGACCTGACTCCAATCTTGTGTCCTCCAGGGAGGAGTCGTGAGGGAGCATAGTGAGAGTGCGGGACCTGCAAGGGTGCTCATGAGGGTGGTTTCACCTGTAGAACCTTTGCCTGTTGGAGAAAGAGCTGTAATCAGCTCTGACAGAGCAGATCAGGTACTAGAGAGGGAGTGTGTGGGCATGGGGAGGAAGCCTCTGGGGCTACCCGCTTTGTGAGTAAACCAACTAGACTGCAGACAATGGAATCACAAAAACAACATGAAAAGCTAGCACAACTGATAACAACCAACACCATCACAGTAGCAGCTGGACTGTTCCATCTCAGAATCCTATGACAAACTTACTTAGGAAAATTCCTGAAAGCTTGGGATGCTGGAAAGTTCCTGGTTCAACTTGGAATGGATAAGAAACAAGCTATTTTTTTTTTCAAAACAGAAACTGGCAGAGTCTTTTGGAAAATTATGGTAAACAAAATT